ACACACACACACACACACACACACACACACACACACACACACACACACACACACACACACACACAGACACATACACACACACAGACACACATACACACACACACACATGTTCAACCATCCCAGCACAACACCCCCCCCCCCCCAAACGATCATGACATGATGTCGTCACCTGCACGAAGACGCCGTCCTTCTCAACCTCAACAGCAAGACCGCGGCTGAAGAAGTCGACGTACGCCTGCAATGTAGACGCACACGAGCACATGTACACGCACACATGTACACACACGAGCACATGTACATGTACATAGATTGGAAGGTGACTTGGTGACGGGAAAGAGCCACAACTGAACGGAAGGTAAGCCCTTTAGCACCTCCAACACACACACACACACACACACACACACACACACACACACCTTGGTTGCAGAGTAGGCTGTGAGGAGGGCGGTGGGGAGAGTGCCGCTGCCAGAGCTGACGTTGACGATGGCACCGCGCTTGCTGCAGTGTCACACACAAGCACACACATGGGAAGAAGGTGGTGGAGCACGTGACACACGCATGTGAGCATATACCGCCATCAGGAAGCGATGCCGGCACCTTGTAACTTGCGACAACAACAACAACACGGCACAACATACACACACACACAACAACACGACACAGCATACACACACAACACCACGACACAGCAAACACACACATCACCACAACAACAACACGAACATCACCAGAACAACACCACTACGCAACATACACACATCACCACAACAACAACACGAACATCACCACAACAACACCACGGTGCGCACCGCTGCTGCATGCCGGGGAGGACGATGCGGGTCATCTGGTTGATGGAGACGATGTTGAGGCGCACGAGCGCATCGATGCGCTGATGTTCGTAATGGCAGTGGCGATGGTGATGGTAGTGGCGTAATGTCGCATAAGTCGTTGTGTCGTTGCATGATACCAAAGAGCGCCCGCAACGCACACACACACACACACACACACACACACACACACACACACACACACACACACACACACACACACACACACACACACACACACACACACACACACACACACACAACAGGCACGCACACACACCCCCCTGTCATCATCACCACCCACCCTCATCCCTCTACTGACCTCCTGGTCAAGGGCGGCGAAGAACTCTGGGTGCTCGTAGGAGATGCCGACGTTGTTCACTGCACACAGACCACGGCACATGCACGCACAGAGGTGAGCAAGGACACGATGCAGATGTCACACAGCACTTTGCACTCAACAGTCCAATCGTCACCAGCAAAACTCCACTCACAAAACACACACACACACACCCACACACACACATCCTCAAACAACCCCTTCCATCCCGGCGCCCCTTCCCTTCCCTTCCCTTCTCCCCCCCCCCCACACACACACAGACGCACTCACCGAGAACGCCAATGTCGAGGCCCTCGAGCTGCTTGGCAATCCGCGGGTACACCTCGGTTGGCTCACCAGACATGTCCTCGACAATAACCTTCACCTCAATGTCGCGCTTGTCCGCTGCAACTGTACGTGCGCATGTGTCGATGATGATGATGATGATGATGATGATGCGTGAGGTCGGTGCATGCACGACAGCGAACACCACCACCACCAACAACACACACACACACACACACACACACACACACACACACACACACACACACACACACACACACACATACATACACACACGCACACACGCGTAACACCCGTCCCCCCACACACCACCACCACACTCACGGATCTCCTTCTTGACATCGGCGAGCTTGCTGGCGGTGCGGCTGATGAGCACAATGTTCATGCCCTTGGCCGCCAACTACGTGGAGGGGGGAAGAGAAAGAAGAAGGATGTGTGTATGTGTGTGTGCGAGCAGGTGTCAGGATATCGTGTTCAAGCAAGTATTGGTCACCTAGCACGCACAAGACACACACGACACACACACACACACACACACACACACACACACACACACACACACACACACACACACACACACACACACACACACACACACACACACACACACACACACACAGACCTGCTTGGCGTACTCAAGGCCAATGCCATCCGTAGCGCCAGTGACCACTGTAACCCAGTTCGAAACAAGTCATAGTCAGGCACATGAGATAATCGATCGCAAAGTCGTCTCACTGTTGCCTCCTTCGTTTCACCCGTGTCCCCTCCCCCCTCTTCTTGCCCTTCATTCACAACGCACCTGCCCAAGCGCCATACTTCTTGGGATCCTCAGCGGGCCGCAGGTATGCAGCATACACCGCCTTCAGCACGCGAACAGCGAGGCTGAGAAGCTGCAGGTCATGTTGCGTGATGTGTGTGTGTGTGTGTGTGTGTGAAGAAGTAGCGATCACATGACACATGACACATGAAGCCAGCGCAAATCAATCCCATTACTCACAATCAGTCCCGCAAACCACACCGTCCCCAAACGGCAAACTTACGAAGAAAGCGCCCACGGCATAGCAGACGGCACACGCGCCTCCACACAGCGACATGACGATGATGATCAGCAGGAGGAGGAGGAGGAGAAGAGGAAAGCAACTGAAACTGAAGGGAGGACGTGTGCCAAGTCCAGTGCAACAACGTGCGTGCCTTGCTTTGTGGAATTTTAATGGTTATCTTCAGCAAATCATCCGCTTTCGCTTTGTTTGGGCGACGCGCCGCCATTTTCGAATTTCCGTTGATGGACAAACAACGCGCACACACACACACACACACACACACACACACACACACACACACACACACACACACACACACACACACACACACACACACACACACACACACACACACACACACACACAAGATGGGCGTGACGTTTGCAGAGGGCATGTCGCACGACGAAAAGGCCGACATGCTCAAGGACTACCTCGCGCAGTTCGACATTGAAGGTGTGTGTGTCTTGGTGAAGGACTGTGTGCAGCCTTGCGGCCCCTCTTGCGTGCTTCCACCTGGCCGCACCACCATATCCATTCACACACACACACACACACACACACACACACACACACACACACACACACACACACACACACACACACACACACACAGTGTCTCGCCGTGCGGAGCGCATGAAGTCGAAGGTGCGCTTCCTCAAGGCGAGCATCACGCGCCAGTTTACCGTGGAGCTGATGAAGATCCCAAAGGTGAGGTGGCTATCGTTCGTGTCGTGTGCGTGTGTGTGATCTCCCCATTGCGATATGCAGCTGCCATCTTCTCACACAATTGTCTCACACACTTGTCACGGGTCACCTGATTTGCAGGCCGTCAAGGCGCTGACAATTTCAGAGTTCAAGGCGGCACTCGAGTCGGTGAGCGTGAAGAATGGGGACGCTGTGTAACTGGGAACATTTTCTTCCTGCTTGTCGTCGACTGGTGTTACACGCGCACTGACTCACACGCATGAACATGCGCTTATTCACCCGCATACACACACGCACGCTCACTCACGCGCTCGCACGTGCACGCACGCACACGCTCTCCTCCATCCTCCCCCACTTTTTGTCAGGCATCCTCTGAGGATGAAGAGAATGAGCCCGGCACCGTGCGGAGAAAGAGCACACGCGCCGTGCGACGATCGTAAGCTGATGCAGCAGCTGAAGATGTGTTGTATGATTCCTTGCGTGCTCAGATTTGCATGTGTGTGTGTGTTTCAGTGTCTTGTCACTCATGCTGCCGACAATCCGCACTACCATTCCTGCAGGACGCGCCAAAGCAGCATGCGTGCAACAACGGGCATCGTGAGTTTGCATCATGTGTGTGCGTGTGATTGTGTTTGGGGGGGGGAGGGGTGCGAGTGGGTGTTTCTTCGACAATACTCCGCCATGGTGGTTGTATCTCACCCAACGTCACCGCATTGTACTCTCCGTGTAGATGTCGACAGCAAAGCGCACGCGACCCACCAACCGCGTGTCCTTCAAACCAAACACATCATTCAAGGTGTGGTTTGGAGTGTGGGGCGATGTTCGGCACTGTTTCTTATGCAACCGGTGCAGGGCGCGCAAAACCGCTCACTGTTGCGGCCTCACAACACGCACACACACACACACACACACACACACACACACACACACAAACATACATACATACACACATGCACGCAACACACGCAACACGCCACTCACACCACACACACCACTCACACGCAACCCCCCCCCCTCCAATAGGCGCGCCCGAGCCGCCGCGTGACGCGCGCCAGCACAGCAGCGACAGAACAGAAACAGCAGCAGCAGCAGCACGAGCAACACGTGTTTGAGACACCGGCGGCAGTGAAGAACGGCGGCGTGCTGAAGGTGAGTGAGGGAACAAAAGGAAGTAAAGGGGAGAGAGAGAACGGGGACTGATGAGCGTGGTGGTGTGGTGCTGAACTTGACACGTTGTTCGTGCAAGTACACACACACATACATACACACACACACACACACACACACACACACACACACACGCTCACCGACTTCAACACTTACCCGTACACGTACGTGATCCTGCACACACAGTACGAGGAGCTTGGGTTTGATCCACGACTGCCAAAGACGCCGTATGTGCGCCAGGCCCGGAACGGCGAGAGGTGAGCACATGTGCTGCGGTGATGATGGTGGCGGTGTTGATTACAATGCGTGTGGTGTTGACACTCCATGGGGCTGGAAGAGAATGAAGGACCGCACACACACACACTGTCTCTCTCTCTCTCATTCACTCACTCACTCACTCACACACACTCACGCGCTTCAACGCGCACACACACACACACACACACTTACTCACGCACTTCAACACACACACACACACACTTACACACTTACTCACTCCCGACACATACACACACACTTACTCACTCCCGACACACACACACACACACACACACTCTCTCTCTCTCTGTCACACACACACACACACACACACACACACACACACACACACACACACAAACACCCTCCGCACCTCATTCCCCCTCCTCCCCCCCCCCCCAACAACAACAGCCTGCTGTCCATCAACGGGTCGCCCGTCTCCATCGACACGTCGTGCTCGCGCATCCGCAAGGGGGGACGCGACACGATCATCACGCTGCCGCTCAAGGGCGGCAAGGCCGTGGAGATCAACAGCGAGAACCCAGACACGCTGGCAGACATGCTGCAAGGGAAGGACAGGGACGAGGCTGTGGGCGAGCTGCAGCGCTTGCAGGCACAGCTCTCAGCCATGATCCAGACGTTCCAGCAGCAGGTGTAGGTTGTACGTCGTGGCGGCGGTCAAAGGGAAAACCGGACTTGCAGAGCGAAGGAGATGCACGTCGTGGGCTTTTATGGGGTTTTGTGTTTGTTGGAATGGGTGTAATGTTCTTCGACATGGTTTCTTATGATGCTGGCCTGGTGTTAGGCCGACTTGGCGAGTTATCTGCTGGCTGTGATGTCCTCTCCTTGGATTTGTTTCTGCCTTTGTCGTGAGTCGTGCTTTGTCCATCCCTCTCTTCCTCATCTTCGTTTATCTTCCTGTATCTTCCTTTATCTTCCTTCATTTTACGTTTCAATGGTCGTTGAGAACAGAAAGCGTGTTGCAAGCAAAACAACTGAATGCGTGACGGAATGACATGCTCGTGACAGAAGGGTGAAAGCAGGTGAAGAACAGGAGGAGCAGACAGGAAGAACACGGCGGCAGTTGCAGGCGTGACAGGTTCAAGCAACCTCCGAAACAGAAAACAACACATTGTGGAACACGCGCGACTCCATGTAACATTCCTGCAACCCTGCTCAGACAACTTGAACATCCACCTCCCTGTATTCCCGGCATTCCGGGTCAACCTGATCAATGGTCTCTTCCCGTTGCTCGTCCTCGTCGTCGCCTCGCTTGTAATCGAAGACGACAGTGTCCTCGTCTTGTTCGTCGCTCGTCGGTGCTTCGGTCACGACGGAATCGGCGCGAAGTTCGAGTGCTGTGATGGTTGCTCCGATTCGAACCGTTGAGACGTTCACACCCCTGAGCACACATGGCATGAAAACAACACCACCTCCAAAGGGCGCAGAGACCACAAAACAAGCACACGCTAGCATAGCGGACGGGTGTGCGCGCAAGCACTCAAAACACCATGAATCGCTGTTACAAGGTGGTCGAACGATCAGCTGTCGACGGCCAAGTAGCGCTGCAGTGAGATCTCTGATGTGGGGTGCATCGTGCTCGTTCGCCTTATCGAGATACTGCAATGGGTCAATGACCTCACGCTTCGATCTGGTAGGGAGTTGCTGCTGATGCACAAACCCATCTTGCACAATAAATGGCAGCTGCCCGTTTGGAATGTACACGTACGCAGCAATGCGCTCCACCAGACACCATGGTCTGCTGCCGTAGTCATCAGGGCCAGCCCCTTCGAAGCATGTCACCAGATGGCAACAAGCTGTGTACACGCTGAGCGAATCTATGTATGGTGCACGCGCTTTCATGAGTTGTGGCATGTTCTCCTCTGTTTCGGGAATGTCATCGCCCTGGTTGATACATGCCCAGTCAATCCACAAGAAAATGAGTGGGTGCTGGCTCTTGGGCACCCCAGTCACATCATCGCGTTGAATCTTCCACTCGAGCCATTTCGTAAACTCAAAGAGCGCCTTTGCCTTGGAGTTGTCCTCGTCATCGGGCCTGTGATTGTCTGGGTCAAGCCAGCGATGGCTCACCATGACAATGACGGGACGGCACTTGTTCACAATTGAGGTACACACGGCCTGTTCCGCGTCGACGGTGAGGCCCTCGTGGCTCCGTGGGATGCGGCACGCGCCGTTCCGTGCCTTGAGCCATGCAGCAGGCAGCACGCGCATGGGCGGGAGGCCCGATTGCTTCACAATCCGCAATCGCTGAAGCGTGGGGTTAGCGCCAATCTGCCGGCACTTTGCTTGAAACTTCCAGTTCTTGAGCACGCTGCTGACCCTCTCTTTCAAAGCTTGGGCGCCACCAGACAACCCGCAGTACTGTGGTGGCCCACGCGTTGTCCACAGGTCGGCAAGTGCGACTGTTTCAGGCAGAAGAGCTCTCCTTGCGCGCCCAAAGTCCTCGACGGCGCCATCCTTGTCCGAGTGCAGAGGAAGCAGCGGCTGTTGCAGCGTTGAACTCATGGCGAAGCGAAAGGTAGGTCTGGGTGGTGGCTCTCTCTGGAGGGCTGCAGTAAGATGGCTGGTGAGCTTGAGCCAGCGGGTGATGTCGTGTCGTCGTGTGAGGGGGATGGAAAGGCGAAATGAATGCCTTGGTTGGAGCAAACCAACACAAGCAAAACACCAGCCAGATGCAAACAACAACAACACAAACAAAGAGCAAGGAGCAAGGACGCGCAACTTTGCAGCACAACAAAATTCTGGGGGGTGACACTAACCCGCGAAAATTTCAAATGACCCGACCACGGGCAGTCAGATTGGTCGTGGTCAGGGATCTTTCACAACTTTCCACCTTTCACTACACTATGTGGTGTTTCTGTATGGAGCCCGTGGAATCTCACTGCACGATATGGTGTGTTCAAATCCCTCTCCCATCAATCCCGAAATTCTCCCACCACCCAACTCAAGCCAGCGCTTGACCTGACCCACAACACGCAAATTGGTCATGGTCAAGGTTCAAAATTTTCGCGGGTCAGTGTCGCCCCCCAGAAAATTCACGCCAAATCCACCCTTCCCAACCAAATGGGCAATTTTGCCCACCCAGCGGTGGCAAGATTGTCCAGCAGGCCTGCACGTCGCCACCACATTATGCGTGCGTGGAATCAAACTAAACAACAATAAAAGTGCAAAAGTGCAAAATGTAGTCTTGCTTGCAGAGCGACAAGTCACTGGTCGCATCTGCTGAGACAACTGAAGAACCGAGACAAGGAAAGACGCACGCAGGCAGGCAAGCAAGCAAGCGAGCGAGCAAGCAGACAAGCAAGCAAGCAAGCAGACAAGAGGGCAAGCAAGCAAGCAGGCAAGTAAGCAAGCAGGCAATAATACCTTATACCTGAAAGCCCCCCCCCCCATCCCCCAGCGCGTTGTGTGTGCTCGTGTCTCATAGCCTCTGACACACACACCACACACACACAACCCACTTAAAAATACTGTGTATCTCAGCACAAAGGCAAACTAAAGCAAGCAAAGAACAAATTGTACAAACAATACAGACACACGAGACAATAATGTGCAACACAATAATCGTCACCTCAAACAAAAGACAGCGCACGCGTGCATGTCCTACGTCGTCTCCCTTCCCCCTCCCCCCGTACCCACCGACCACCAGCGCATGCTCTCCCTCCAATCCTCCTTCCCCCCCCCCCCTTCCACGCACGCACCCATCCCTACGCACCCAAATCTCCTCTGGCCTTCCTCACCTTTCCCATTCACAACTCAGCCACCCCTTAACCCCCCCCCCCCCTCTTCATGCGTCCGCCTCGCCGGTGTGGTGGTGCCTGCTGCCGAATCTGCTGCCGGCCAGGTTGATCACCACCAGGTCATCCTCGTCGCCGTCGTCGCCCATCGGCTCCTGCATCATCACCGTGTCTGCGCGAAGCTCAAGCACGGGGAACGCGTTTCCCGCCTGAAGCGACTGGAACCGCGCGCAGGGGCTGCAGCAGCTCTGGCACACGTTGGCGACACCCACGTCACAAATCCCGCCGAGACACAGGGTCATGCACAGCGCCCAGGCAAGCGGTGTCGGGTGCGCGCGAAGGCACTCCGCGCATAAGTTGTCGCTGTTTGTCTCTGGTCGCGTGACAATGGTGGCGGACCTCATGAGCGCCTGTGTGAGGTGCTGGATGTACGGCGCATCGTGCGCGCTTGCATTGTCGAGGTGCTCCAGTGGGTCGATGAGGCTGCGCCTGCCTTTGGCCGGAATCTGCTGCTGATGCACAAACCCGGTCTGCACGATAAAGGGCATTTGCCCGTTCGGGATGTACACGTAGGCGGCAATGCGCTGCACCAGGCACCATGGGTCGCTGTCGTGGTCGTCTGTGTCCACGCCCTCGATGCACGCCGTCAGGTGGCAGCACGCCGTGTACACGCTGAGCGACTCAATGTACGGCGCACGTGCTTCCATGAGCTGCGGCATGCTCTCCTCTGTCTCGGGGATGTCGGGTCCTTGATCGATACAGGGCCAGTCGATCCACAAGAAGATGAGCGGGTGCTTGCTCTTGGGCACGCCCGTGACGCCTTTGATGCGGATTCGCCACTCGAGCCATTTCGTAAACTCAAAGAGCGCCTTTGCGTTGGAGTTGTCCTCGTCATCAGGCTTGTCGCTGTGCGGACCAAAATGGTGGTGGCTCACCATGACAATGACGGGGCGACACTTGCTGATGCTGGCGATGCACACGGCCTGTTCCGCGTCGACGGTGAGGCCCTCGTGGCTCCGTGGGATGCGGCACGCGCCGTTCCGTGCCTTGAGCCATGCAGCAGGCAGCACGCGCATGGGCGGGAGGCCCGATTGCCTGACGATGCGTAATCGGTGGGTGGTGGCGCCGACGCCAATCTGCCTGCACTTTTTCCGAAACGTACTGTTGGCGAGAACATCCCGGGCCTCCTGCTTCAGTGCTGCCGCGCTTCCAGGGTACCCGCGGTACAGCGGCGGTCCGCGGATGGTCCAGAGCTCGCTCAGCACCTCCTCCGCGCCGCCATCATCCTCGATCATCGGCAGCAGCAACTGGTCCATGGTGGTTGTGTGTGTGTGTGTGTGTGTGTGTGTGTGTGTGTGTGTGTGAGGAGTGTTGTCTGTGTGTGAGGAGTGCGTGTCTGTTTTGTTGTTGTTGCAGTGGGGGTGTTGGGTGTTTTGGTTGGTGGTGTCTTTTGTCACAGCAGAAGCTCTGAAGCTTGAAGGTGCGTGTACGGTGTTTGTGTTTTGTGGTTGTTGTCTGTCTGTGTCTCTGTCTCTGTCGTGTCGTCTCGTGCCGTGTCGGGTAAGTGGACTGGAAGCGCTGAAGCAGTCGTTCAAAACGATCGGAGATGAGCTGGAAGGAGGAACAACAAGCAAAATACAGGAGAAAGAAGAAGCACAGACAGCCACAACAAGCACAAAGGCGCAGTGGCGCAATGACAACACGACCTGCTGCAAACAGCACAAAAAGCAGCACAGCCGCGTTGATGTGAGACATGAAGCGA